AAGTCCCATGATCCCTTAAGTAGGCCTTACTCCGCGGGGTTCCCTCGTAGCATCACCGGTCCGTCTGAGCCTCGGGCTGCGCAGGCCCGACAGGTGGGCGGACGGCCATTTTGCACATCGTCAGAGATCCAGCCGTGGCTATGTGTGACCATACCTGCACAGGGGAGTCTGCGGTAGAAATCTTATGAGTTCTGCTCTGAAGGAGCCCATGCCTGTGCCGGAAACATCGATGCGCTCGATGCAGACCGGACACGAAGGCAGTTCCTGAGAGCAACGGGGTCCAGGTTGAGGCTTGCATGCTCGCATGCTCGCACCGAGCCGAGGTGGCGTCGTATGCAGTGCTGGGTATGATGTTCCGGAGGTTTTCATCCCTCTCGTCCGAATCCGCCCTCGCCAAATTCGGCTGCATCTGATCACCTTAGAGAGTACTGACATCCTGCAAAATCCCACTTACGTGCATGACTCAGGGCGGCTAACTGGGGTCAGCGGAGTTGAAGTCGTAGACGATGGCCTCAGAAGCAGCCCAAGCAAGCCCAAGAAGAAGCGAGCCCAGGACCCCTACCTCCAGAAATGTCAAGTAGCAGCATGCACCCCCGCCGCGAGATTCGGCCTTCTTTCTCTCAGACGCTGCCAACACAGAGGACAGGAAGAGGTTGATCCTTCTCCCATCTTCTCACATTCTCGCACAAGGCCTTGCCAGCGCTGCTGCTCTGCGACTCCTGACCTGTGCGAGATCTGACGAACACGGGCAGCTCATGGTAGCGCAGCGCTTCTGCAGGCGTAAGGTCAATCCAATAGACTCAGCAAAGTGTAACGCGTCTCTGCCTGAGGCGAAGAGCCTCCCGTGGTTTGCCTTGTACAAGGCATCTGCCGCTGCCTCGGCGACTCCCAGAGACTCTCAGAATTCAGTATTGAAGGCTGCGCCGAAGATGGCCTGGTCGCGGCAGAGGAGAATGACCTTCACTTCTGCACACAGAAAACGCTTTTTAACTCCAAAACGATCTACAAAGCCGGGTGCCAGGCTGTGTAAAAACCACTGTTGCCCGAGCCGGGGGCGCACTTGCCCTCGAGAGAAGGGCAAGAGAAGGAACCTTGCGGTCTCCGCAGGGCATGGCTTTGGGGGCTTCGGGTTTAGGGGCTTAGGAAGGTCAGGGAAAACCTCTTGATTACTCTGTGCCCGTCCAGTCAACTTCTTCTCTCAAGCCACTGGCGCCAAGAATCCCAAGAAATCTCCGGAGCCGACTATTGAGGTTTCCGCTCTGCACATAGACAGTGCCCTCGAATGCCACAGGCTCTGTCACGCTGGCAACCGGCGAACAACTGCGCAGAGTTGTCGACACATGCTTCTCCGGTGTCCATGCCGGCAGTATCTTCACTGCGGCTTCAGCATCCCTCAGAACTGGCCGCCCTGGTTGCTGCCCGACATTCTTGCATCCCACCTTCATGCCAACTGCAAGTCTTTGCAACCGGCACGGTTTCAGGATGCAGCGATGGCCAGAGCGCAGGTCTGAATCAGCCACTGCCATATCGATTCTTGAAATTTTTGTCTCGGGCTGTGTCGGCGACAAATCCGCAGCTTCGTGGAGCTGCCATCTGAGAGCTGGCTGCCATACAGCTGGGCAACCGCTCTTGATCGAAGAACGCATTCAAAACGCTCGGTCAAAATCTACGAGCATCACGTGAATGGACGTTCAGTTGGGGCTACAGCCTGTACGACGACGGCTGTGTCGATAAAGCACTCGAACAGCCTCGATGCCTGCCCGGGCTGCAAGTTAGATGTAACTGCCTGCCATTGGAAAAGAAAACAATCCGTAATTCTGCCAAACTCGCCTTCCACAAGCCTGAGCCGGCGTGCGTGTGCGTGTGGGCAGATTTCACTGGTACAGCGACTGCTTGGGGTGGGGCCCTGAGTCTGCTCCAAGGAAAGTCTGTAAACTCTCCAGGGTCAGTTCCTGAAGTGCAATGCTGCATTCACCAAGGGTGCCTTCAAAGACTCTTCTTGGAAAGGCTGGGAAAAAGGCAGAAGGCACTGCCAGAAGCAACAAGGCACTTGTCCTCTGTATTGGCAGAGCATCCTGCATCTCAAGTCACCATGGCTCCACTGCCGCTCCATGCGCAGTGAAAGCGCTCCTCCAGTCCGGCACCAGCTCCTACTGCACGGAAGAACTTGGTGGCACGTACCTGGGTCTGGGGAGTTCTTCGGGGTATGCCCTCGCACCTGGAGGCCTCAAGGACGTCAACCACGGTCTTCTGCTCTTTCTCTTGCGGCAGCGGAGCCAAGTTGGCCTCTCCTCTTCAACCAGCCCCCCCCCAACTGTCGCGAAAGGATCCAAACTCAGTCACCTTCTAGACAGCCTCCCGGCAGATGCTCGAAAACGCCGACGGAATGGGATGGTGTAGGTCGTGCCTGCAGCTCGGCATGGAAGACTATGCATGAAGTAGTCTCGGCGTGGGTTCCTAACACGTCCCTTTTAAGGCCTGCAACCCGGCCACCAGGACGTAGAAGACCATGCTGGGGCAGCGCCGCCCGGAGCATGCTCACAGGAATCTTTTGGAACTAGCATGCGTCTTGGTGGAGCCTAAGGCTCTGGTAGGTTAGGATGCAGCTGACATGCTGTCGTATCTGAGCCGCACATGCTACGAAGCACCAAGTTACGCCATGGAGGGAAGCAGCAAAACCAAGGGCCGGCAAAGTAGCTCGGCCCGGGCATTTCCCACCGATTTGGAAAGACGTTGAGCTATCAAAGTCGGGTGCAAGAACTTCCCACAGGCGCCGCTCTGTCACGAGGACGATGCTTGAATGCAGCCGAAGAAAAAGCCAACGGGTGGCGTGGTCAACGCATCATGGATTGTGGAACACCAGCTGCAGACAAAGCGCAGATAGATGTGTCACACACTGAGGGCCAGCCCAGCTGCCGGACTAAGAGCTACAGGTTGCGCTTCCGAGTCACTCGGGCAGGCAAGCGTGGCAAACCGCCTTGATTCATCCATGCCATCCCGCTTCGAGTTTCGAGCGCTGTTCTTCGCATCGCATCGCGCCTGTCGTCGCTGGCAGCAGCTCCCGTCGCAAGTGTTCTTGTCCGCTCTCGTCTGGCCTCCCTGCCTCCACAATACTGAGCGAAGCGCACTGTTAGGGTGCTTCCGC